AGGTGGAGTTATGTAGAGAAAATACCTTGATATCTTTTATCATTAAAGGAAAAAGCAAATCCTTCTATTACTTTTTAGCAATGGAGTCACAGAATACCTCAGAGCAACTTCCAACTCTTGGGCTCAAGATGTTCTCTTGCCTCAGTCTCCCAAGTAGCTGGGGCTATAGGCACCCGCCACAATGCCTGCCTATTTTTAGAGACGAGGTCTCTGGCTCAGGCTGGTCTTGAACTTGTGAGCTCAGGCAATCCATCTGCCTTGGCCTCCCAGAGTGCTAGGAATATAGATGTGAACCACCACACCCAGCCAAAACACCTCAGGCTTGAATGTTCTATTTTAAATTATAGACAATCCTGTAAACTAGAAATAAAACAACTAGTAGGGAAAAAATATTCCCATGATCCCACCATCTATGGGAAACCCAACCCTGTTGACATTTTATCATACCTTCCAGTCCTTTCAAAACGCCCATTTGAGGGCGGCGCCTGTGGCTCAAAGGAGTAAGGCGCCAGTCCCATATGCTGGAGGTGGTGGTTTCAAACCCAGTCCCAGCCAAAAAATAAAAAAATAAAAAATGCCCATTTGAAACAGTTTCTATTGTGCTGAATATACACTTATGTCCTGATTTGTTTAATGTATTTTATCCACGATGCCTTACCTTTAAAATATTATTTAAAATAATATTTTAATGAGTGTAAATATATTACTCATTTTTTCATTGCAGGCACTTAGTTTATATCCAAAATATTTTGTCTCAAAAACAGTATATTAATCTTGTGTGTGCGTGTGTAAAGATTCTTCTGTCTCTAAGAACAGATTCCTAGCAGCAAAAATATTGAGCTAGAGAACATAGATAACCATTGAGCTCATCAGCAGATATTATTGATTTGTTTTCCAAAAAGATTGTACTAGTTTTTTTTTTTTGAGACAGAGTCTCAAGCTGTCCCCCTGGGTAGAGTGCTGTGGCATCACAGCTCACAGCAACCTCCAGCTCCTGGGCTTAAGCTAGTCTCCTGTCTCTACCTCCCAAGTGGCTGGGACCAAAGGCACCCGCCACAATGCCTGGCTATTTTTTGGTTGCAGCCATCATTGTTGTTTGGCAGGCCCGGGCTGGAATCAAACCCGCTACCTTGGGTGTATATGGCTGGTGCCTTAGCCACTTGAGCCACAGGCACTGAGCCAAGATTGTACTAGTTTAACTTCCCTCTAAAAGAGTGTGTTTACTTCCCGATCACTATGGTCTCCTTTAAAAAAATGAGTCAATTTGATCAATAGCTCGATGTTTAAAAGTTAAGACTGCCTTCTACATATAGCGACACTTAGCAATAGGAACAGATCTTGCAATGTTGAAAAGCCAGACACCAAAGAGCACATACTCTTCCGTGATTCTACTCAAACCCCAAACTGCCAAGGCTAACCTGTGTTATACCAAATCAGGAGAGGAGTTTTCTTGGAAGGGAATCACTGGAAGAAAACACAAAAGAGACTTCTGGGAAATTGGTAGTATTCTTTTTCAAAATCTGGGTGCTAGTTGCAAGGGTGTATTCAGTTTGTGGAAATTCCTTGAGCTTTATACTTAGGTTCCTGTCTCTGTACTCCTTATATCGTACTTGGATAAAAAGTTTAAAAAACACTCTGCCTACCCAAGATCTTTTATTTTCTTTTTTTTTTT